CCCCCGACCCCACCCCCCCCAGTTGAGAATCACTGGTCTAAATGCCTGTGCTTATTGATTTAGAGAGGGGAAAAAAGTATGATTATTATCCTCTAGAGGGAGACAGAGATTACAATATTATCAAAATAGTAACAGACTGTTTTTAAGACATTCTAAAATACTTGTAATGAATTATGGTATCTCTCGCCAAACTATAAAATTCAACTTTTATTAACATTATTTGCAATCAACAAGTCAGTAAACAACAAAAAAAGACGAAAAACAAATATGGCTGTATATCACTCATACACAATTTGTGCAGTAATCAAAAATCAAAAAGGACATCATGAAACTAAGTCATATAAGGAAGGAAACCTATCTGATGTTCTGTGGCCTGTGAGGTGTGCGGTGTAATCCTAGGGATCGACTGTTGGATTTTGTGGCTGCGGGGCAGTAAGTATGTGATAAGGGAGGAATCCTTCCTGCTATCTGAAGTGATGAGAGACAAATGGCAGGATTTGAGTCTCTCAGTCAACACAGAGAGAGACAAACCCTGCAGTTCACAGACTAAATTTAACAAGGGCAGACAAGCTATAAATAATTCAGGGAGAGAGACAATGAGAGTCAGCCACAACAGACCAACTTCTGAGCCCTGGATCAGTGCGCTGGGAAAAAGAGTTAACACATCTTTAAGGAAACTTCAAGGCAATAAGGGCATAAGGAATCAAAGCTTCAGTGATCTTTTAATATATATATATATATATATATATATATAATTATTTGTACTATGAAAACATACTAACTTCCAAAACTCCATTTATTCCCCAGTGAAAACAAGAGTATGAAACTTAAGCTGCTAAAATGGCTTGTTCTGTACTTTTGCAACATCTTTCCGATTATGACCATGATTTAGAATACATCTGAAAACATGTCCAACTATTTTTGCACATTTAAACCCATCACCTTTGTACAATGCATTGCAGGCTTTGAAAAGAGGCCGTGAACATTAAAAACTATATTGAACCCAACAGTCTCGTTTCACATGCATAGGGGCCGTTTGCACTCTTAATGGCACAGCAGCAAATAATATCTCTGAGTTAGTCAGAGATAGTGGAAAATGGTCTTATGATTTGAACTTATGATTGTTTAGGTCACAAAAATATTTTAGAGGACCTAAAAGACCACTATTAACATCACATGATGAAATCAAGACACAACGACATAGTTTTTCCATGGCACAGTGTTTTTTCCTGAATTGTGCTTCAGATGAGATTAAGAAAAATTACAAGAAATGAGTGATTGATCCAAACCCTGACTGATACACACTTACGAAACTTACCTCACCAATCTCTTCCTTATAAAGGCAGAAGTGGACAATGCTCATCAAACTCTCTTCACACTTGTTGGCCTCAGCAATCCATTCAACGCTTCCTCTTTCCAATTTTTCCAGTTTCTCCTTTAACTGCTGCACTGACAACACCAGCAGACGCTTGGAGCATAAAGAAAGCGGGAAAATGGAGAAGAATGCTCATTTATGGCACTTGTTTCATACCATTTCTATCAAAGCAACAAGTATTGTTATGCATTTATGCATAACAAATATGCATAACATTTTTCAGGTTCGGGTAAGGAAATCCAGAGAATGCATGAAATCTTTTGAAGATAATGAGGGCATGCAATATTTTGAAGTAATTGACACACCGAGTGTTGCACAGTGCTGGTGAGATCTGCACCCAGCGAGAGGGCGAGCTTGTACAGATAGTGGATGTGCCTCTGCCTCTCTTGGTACTGAGTCAACTGAGTCCTGGCCTGGCTGGTGTCACTGTACACAGTCACTGGTTCTGCATGTAATACAGTGTCCAGCTGGGAAAAGAAGTATGCTTAGGCTACAAATTTCAGCCAATAATATAATATAATATAATATAATATAATATAATATAATATATAATA